CCAAAATAGGCGACTAAGTGGTTCTCTACCCTACCCTGATTTCCAAGAATTGAAATTAAATGACAGCACTTCCCTGAACCTTGGCAGAACTTCCCTGAAATTCGGCAGAACTTTCGGCAGCACTTTCCTGAGGTTCGGCAGGCCTTCCCTGAACTTCGGCAGGATTTCCCCGAAGTTCGGCAGGCCTTCCCTAAAGTTCGGCAAAACTTCCCTGAACTTCGCTAGAACATCCTTGGACTTCAGCAGAACTTCTCTGAATTTCCGCAGGACTTTCCTGAATTTCCGCAGGACTTTCCTGAATTTCCGCAGGACTTCCCTAAACTTCAGCAATATTTCCCTGAACTTCGGAAAGCCCTCGCTGAACTTCAGCATGACTTCCTTGAACTTTGGTTGGACTTGCCTGAAATTCGGCAGTACTTCCCTGAACTTCATCACGACTTCCCTGTCCTTCGGCAGGCCTTCCCTGAACTTAGTGAAGTTGTAATTTCAGTAGTAGAATTATTATAACCATACAATAATATGGTATTTGCTAATTTGCAATGCTTGTTGATATTGGTGAATTTTGAATTTGGGTGTGGTTCGAACCTGGGACGGGACTTGACAATCGGGTAGCGATTTCGAGCCAATTTGCTGTCAAATCCGAGCCAGTTACTGATTGGTCGATTTGACAGTAGCAATCGTGGAATAAAAAAGACAGAGGGATCACTTCAATCCAGGCCAATGACAAGGTCTATACCAACAGCAGCGTTTGACAGTAGGCAGCATGTCCCGGGCTTAAATCATTTATTTTGCTGTGCTGGGTCCGCTGTCACGGTATGACATGTTGCCTACGCGCCTGCCCCTGGGCTGCTTCAATCTGACTGGCAGTGATGCCGGAATCAATGTTGACGTCAATGGCGTTGTTAATTGTTTATATTTGCGAAAGTAAAGGTGGAAAATAGGGTCGACGGCGTGCTTTAAGCGATGGATATTCTTGTTTGTTTATGGTTGTTTTTATTGTGATAAGCAAAAATGATGTACAAGGTGCTTAACTGCAGTAGAAACTCCGAACCAAATTCAAATTAAAGTAGAAAAATCATTCTGCAATCCTGGCATCATTGATCAACTCCGTCAAACATCTTGCACTAATTTTCGACGGGTATTCATCAAAAATATTAAGAAGAGTGAGAAGCTGGATTGTCAAGTCCCGTCCCGGGTTCGAACGGGTGTGGAGTCTGTATCAGTGGGAAAGCATTAACTTCCACCTTAAGGTTGGGCAGTAGAGTGATGCAAAATTTGAAATTTTCGCTCCACAATACTTAAACGATTCCAAATCGGATCCTGACTAACCTCTCAAAATTTGAACCCATTTGGTGAGAAACTGAGATGGCACAAACCATTTGAAGTTTGTATGGGAATTACTATGGTAAAACCAAAATTTTTGTTCATGTCTATCTAATAATTCACCATATCAGTCTGCTTCAAAAGCTTTCAACTGCACTTGTTGGACATTTTCCCAGCTACAACTTTGCTGAAGACCACTTGATTAAATGCAAGAATCTAAAGTTATCAATGGTTCAATGCGCTGATGTCTTATGATCATGCTCAATCAACTGCTCAGCAGGCAACATTGGTGTTCCTGGGGCGTTGAATAGGACACAAAAATCATGGCTACTATGTCACACTGCGAAATACAGTGTTGCCTACAGAGCAGCGGCTGGATCATGTCATAAGTTTACCAATCTCTTAAATAATTAATAACTTTTTCCTGTCTCGTTTTACATAGAAAGGATCTTGAGCAAAAAAGTAGCCGAGAAAATTTTCTATAAGAATGGCTATCGAACTGTTTCGCAGCTCAATATGGAAAAAGACTAGAAGACAATGAACAAAAAGTTGAGATTTCCCATAGTAATTTACATGTAAACTTCAAATGGCTTGTGCGAAGTCTGTTTCTAACCAAATGAGTTGTAACTTTGAGAGGCTAATCAGGACCCGATTTGAAACCATTTAAGCACTGTGGAGCGAAAAAGTCAAATTTTGCATCAGTCTACTGGGCAGGCAATAATCATTTAACATCGTGTCAGAAGGTGTGATAAGAAGAGCTGGGATAGAAACGAGTGGCACAATTTTCAGGAAGTCCATTCAACTTCAACATCGAAATCATAGCACGGACCTTTGTGACAATGGTGGAAACGTACACCAAACTGAAGGCTAAATTTAGGCCTATAGGACTTGCCATCAACGCATCGAAGACGAAATACATGAGCGGAAGAGGTTCTAGGGAAGACTCCCACCCCGAGTTCAGATTGACGGTGATGAAATCGAGTTGGTCGACAAACTCGTGTATTTGGGCTCACTGGTGACCGCCAAAACTGATACCAGCAGAGAAATTCAAAGACGCATTATGGCAGGGAATCGTGCCTACTTTGGACTGCGGAGGACGCTCAGGTCGAATAAAATTCGCCGCCGCACGAAGTTGACACTTGGGAGTCATTGCAAGTTTTATCGAGATTTTAAAGCATTCTACAAGTCTAAATCATAGTCTACAGAACCCTCATAAAACCCATATTGTTACTTGGGCTATCTACAAGACGCTGATTGGACCGGTGGCCCTCTACGGCCTGGACTATGCTCGTGGAGGACAAATCTTTGGTGTTTTTGACCCACGAATTGCACCAGATGCTACGAGAATTATCCATCGTCAACACTGCAAAAAATGGTGACTACGGTGGGCTGGGCACGTCGTAAGAATGGTTTTCGAAAGCGACCCAACAGCAACAAGAAGAAGAGGCACGCAGCGGGCAAGGTGGACCGACAAAGCAGAAGGTGACCTGCGGACACTTCGCAGACTACAAGGCTGCCAAAGTGTGGCCACGGATCGAGTAGAGTGGATACGGCTTCTTCGGACAGCAGAGGACATCAAGGCCTTAGCCTGATTGGTAAGGTAAGTAAGGCAACAACCATTTTGATTAATTAAAAAATCGGTATAAATTGGTATAAAATCTAAAAAATCGATCTTCTGTGAAATATTATCTGTATATCGGTATCAATTTCGAAAATCGGTATACAGGGTGATTCGGAGTAACTGTCACCTTTTTCACATGTATGCAATTCTTAAAGGGTTCTCTGAATATATGTTCAAGTTTGTTTTTAAATGTGTACAATTGTCAGCTTGCATTGATAGTAGGATTTGAAATTTCATTCATTTTCGATTCCAAGCAGCCATGGACGTGAAAATGGACCATGTCATAAATCTGTATAAAATCGTGTGTTATCTTTTAGAAACTGAAATCTCTTCGAGTGAACGAAACATTTATGTTTCGCAAAATTCAGGCATAACATTTGATAACGGCACAAAAGCATTTGTAAACAAACTTTCTAAGGCCCTTTACACGTGAACCAAAGTACGCCCACGCAAACCAATACCACCTTCGGAAAGGTGATAGTTGTCCCTATCCGATGATGTTGTTGGTTTGCGTGGGCGTACTTTGGTTCACGTGTAAAGGGCCTTAGAAAGTTTGTTTACAAATGCTTTTGTGCCGTTATCAAATGTTATGCCTGAATTATAGAGTTACAAAGGAACCATGCTTGGAAAATCCGATGAATATCAGAGCAGGACTCAAAAAGTGCTGAAACTAAAGCGTGCGTGACAGCTGTGGTTAATTTTCGTGACAAATATGGCTGTTAATTAAGGTACAGGCAGAGAGATTTGAATTAAAGTATGCTAAGATGAAGGTGATATATGTAGGGGGGAGAGGTAGCTCATCGATTCTTCCGGTTCGCCTCCTAGCATTGTGCTTTAAGGTACCAGGCGATAACCAGGGTAGTTGATCGATAGCTCGATGACGTCATTTCGTTGGCGTCTGCAATGGGAAATTCTCATAGCAGGCGTTGACGATGGGACGTTGTCGAGTTGTTGAATAGCAACTATCGTGGTAACTCACCGATTACCTGTCGATCTGCCAAATTTGGAAAGACGTCTGCATTGAATTGTCTCATATAATAATATTCCGCCCACTATATCACAAGAAATTGCGAGTAGTATCGTGTATTTTGCGAAACTCGTTGTTGTCGTTGGTTCCGGGTTTGAATGGATACACACATTTGAGCAACGGTATTATGTGATATGAGGGGCTCGGTGGCCTTAGAGCAACCGTTTTTGCTTACTGAGAACATCATGAGTCTAATCTCAGGCCCATCCACATTCAAGATTCGTCAATCGTTATATTTGTTAATATGACTACATGGTAATAACAGCAACTCGGTGATTAAAAAGGTGCTCGTCTGCCTAGTGGCAAACGTTTTTGCTTACTGAGCAGAAGACCGTGGGTTTAGTCCCAAGCTCCTTCGCGTTATATGATCGTTAGGACATCAATTTAGCTTATCGTTTACCAAAACGAACCCTGCTGCAAACCCAACCCTCTTATCCAACATCCCAGTGATTCCTCGTGGAAGTGCAGAGGTGTTCTCGGTTTCCATCAAAGCGAGTGTCATGTCAACACAATCCTTCCCATTCCTTTCTTGGCCTGTGTTCGGGCGCGGCCGGCGCTGGTATTGCCTAATTTAAGATCACCAGTTTTTACACATTGAGGATGATTGCTAGTCCCAAGCATCGTCTATTGGTTCTCTGAGTAATTACAGCTGATCTGGCAGTAACAGACTAGCAACCGTGGGCGGTCAATCAAGCTCAAACTCAAGCTCAAGCTCAAGCTCAAGCTAAGATGAAGGTGATATATGTAGTACATATATCTGGAATATACTGATATCAAAAATTCATACAAGCGTTCAATCGTTATGACCATTTTTAAAAGTGACAGTTATTCCTAATCACCCTGTAAATACAACAATGATTTGGTGAAAGAGTTCTCCCTCTCCATCGTCAGCGTCGTACCGTTCAGCGTGCGATGATGTGTTTGTTTGAAATAGAGATCTCTAATGGCTTAAAAGTATGTGTGTGTGTGGGTTAAAACCCTGCGCATATAGAGATCTCTACGGCATGGCAAATAATACTTCTCTACAACCTATTGTCCGCGTGTTCGTCCGCCTGGGGTGGCTCCTGGCTGAGTGCCACCTCCTTCATGACTACTCCACCGTCGCTTCCGTGCCCATGTCCATCGTCGGACGTCGATACCGTTGGTCCTCCCATGTTGGCCGACACGCTGATCAGCTGAATGTTCTGGTCCGGCTGTTCCTGCTGCAACGCACTGGCGGTGACAATTTCCGTTTCCGGCTCGTTCGATGACCGTTCGTCTTCGTAGTGGTTTTTCTGGCGCGATTCAATTTCATGGACGGGTTGGAACGAGTTCTGCGTCAGTTTGGTTGACCATTGTGATTCCTGCGGTTGCAGGTTGAAGCGCGTCCGCTCCCGGATGCGGAATCGTGGCGTCTGCGCCGTCGTCGTCTCTGCTTGTTGTTGGTCACGTTGCTGTTATTTTTTGAGGAAAAAAAAGGTTAGAAATTGTGATTAGCGAATTGTATGGGAACTTGAGCACTGGGAATACTTCTTGTCTTGATCGAATTGTCGGAGACACCCTTCGAAGGTCCTTGTTTCTCGCAAATCCTCTAGTCACCGGAGGCTCTGGAGATGCGGTGCTAGTGTTAGGTACGGTTGTCGTCACTGGCCGTCGGGTTCTTCCGCGGAGGACGTCCTGGCGACTCTTGGGACGCACCTGAATGAGAAATCGTCAGATTCTGCTGAAAATGTGGGGGAGAGGAGTTGAAACTCACGGTGTTAGATCCTTGCGTGGGCAGCTCGTCGTCGCCGATGGACACGCCTCTGCTCGAGTAAGTCGTCGTCGGTACAGGGGTCGTCGTGTACAGCGGTCTAGCTGGTCGTCTTACGAACGCTGGACGACGCTGGACAGATGACCCTCTGGACGATGATGATGGTGATGACGGTTCGGTCGTGGTACGTTCCGTGGTCACTCGCTCCGTCTGGGCCGTTGTTCTGGGCGAGTATACTGGTTGTCGGGACAGTGGTCTTCTAGGTCGGGGGGTGATTGCTACCTTGCGGATTTCCATTTCGTCTTCGTGGCTGTTGTACGTGGTAGTCGGTGGTTGTCGTTCTTCCGGTAGTTGATACGCAGGTTGTCGGGCCGGTTGTCTACGTGGTTGAACGACGGCGGCAGTGGTTTGTTCCCGCTGAATTTCGACGGGATTCTCACGCTTCGGTTCAACCGGGTGGTCTACAGGTAGGACGCGCACGGATTCATCGTCAACGTCTTCCGGACTCGGGGTGGGGCTGTATTGCTGTGGCTGGTTGACACGGGTAGTCTGCGGGTACTCGCTGGTCACTTCCTGGTCGTAGTAGTTCTCGCTGTAGTAGGTTTCTTTCCTGGGAATGGAAACTTCTTCGTATGTTGTTAGTTCCACGGGGAAGTTCTGAGGTTCAGGCGAAGTGTAGTACGGATTCAAACGCTCGGTTTGTTCTTCGTAGATTTGTTGGTACGTCACCGGACTGGTGGTTGTATAGACAGTTGTAGTGCTGGTCGTTGTTGGTGGTGGGGTGGTAGTGGTGATTGTAGGTGAGCTGCCACCTGGTCGAATCACTGGGTAGTTCTGTTTCAGTACGTCACGTTGGTATTCTAGGTTTTCCTGTTCTTTGGACACACGGGAGTTGCTGCCAGTTTGGGTGCGACTTCTGGTTCTAGTTCGGCCGGAGGATCGTTCACCATCGGCGGGGACATAGCGTGATCTGCTTCGGTTGATGATGGTGGCTTGAGTTGGAGACGCAGAGTCGTAGCTGGTAGAGCCGGTTGTGGGACGTCGTCCCCGAGTTCTACGAGTGGTCACTTCCGAGATGTATGGTTCTGGAGTTGTGGTTGCCTGAGTGGTTCGGTGAATTTGCTTGCGGAAGTGTCCCTTGGTTGTGGAGGAGCTAACCGGGACGGCAGAATCCTGTTCGCCCTTCTTCTGTGCCCATTCGTCTTCCATGAGGGAGTTTACCAATCCAGGGAGGTTGGCACTGATCGGAGGCAGTTCCGAAGGAATACTGTACGACTGCTCGGAAGGAGGGGTCGTCACGTCGGTGGTAGTGTCATATCTGACGGGTTCCTGAGTGGTGATGACCTCCACCGGGTAGTGCGCATCGTTTGTATTCGTTTCGTACTTGTACTTGTTGGTGTAGCTGGATTCGGTGAAACGGTTCAGGAACGAGTCCTGGCTATGCAGACGCGTATTGTAGGATGGCTCCGAAGCCGGTCGACTCTGAGGGAATCGCGAACGCTCCGGTTCGTATTGTTTGCTCTTTTCTTCGAAGTCCTGGAAGAACGAATCCTGCTCTGGAGTCGGAGCGGTGGAAGTGGTGGTCCTTAACGTCGTCGACGTAGTCGTTGGGGCGTAGTATGTGCTGACGAACTTCTGCTTCGGTGGCTCATCGTTGGTGTTCTGGGAGAAGTAGTTGTTGCGGATGACCTGCTGGGCTCCATTCGGGGCGTTGTTGGCAACGACGGTTTTCACCATGTCACCATGATTGTCCTGCTGGAAGAAATCCAGGAAAGCGTTGTCGATGACAGATTTGGTTGCGGGGGTAGATTGTGGGCGTACAGAGTCGACCAGTTTGAACTTGTGGATGTAGCGATCTTCTTCGTGGCTGTTTTGAATGGGTTGCGTTACTTCCTGCTGTTCGTATGGTGGTGGGGCGGTCGACTGAGTGTATGGCCGTCGGTTGCGGAAGTTCTCCTCCTTGAAGAAGGACTTCATGCGGTTCTCCTCCTGACGGGAGGTGTAAGGTTTTTCGGTGGTAGTGGTGGTGGTAGTGGTGGTGGTGGTGGTGGTGGTGGGTTTCGGGGTTGTGAAATCGTCGGCTACTGGGTAGAGAGGAATTTTTTGCTCTGGGATTGGTTTGAAGTCGAATGGTCTGTAGGTTTTGGGACTGTAGCTTTGCGTTGGGCTTGGAGTGGTTGGTTTCTTGGTTTTGGCTAGATTAAAGTACTCTTCGTTGACTACGTGTCGGTTTGGCAGGTTATTGACATTGTTGAAGGGTGAATGGGAGTAGATAGTTCGCTCTGTTTGTGGTTGACGGTAGGATTCCTGGGGAGTTTGAGTGTTTCCTCGGCTGTAGTTGCTTCGGTCGGTGGTGGGTTTCGAGGTTGGGGAAGTATAGTGATCCGATTCGTACTGAGGTTTGCTAGATGGCAGGGTGATGGGTGTCTTCGTGGTCACTTCGTTGAACTTGAGTGTAGATGGTTGGTAGTACTCGATATTCTCCGGTTGCCGGAAGTAGTTAGTCTGAGTACTGGCCAATGGTTGCTGAACAATGACGGATCCGACGTGTGGAGCAGGTAGAGGAATCTTGGAGAATCCACCGGGGGTCTTGTAGCTTTGTGGAGCAACAAAGAAGGGAAGATCGCCAGATTTGGTAGAGAGACGGTTCTGATCGATGCTGGAGAGATATGGCAGCTCAAATTTGGAGTATCCTTTCGGAGGTGCGAGACCAGAAGGTCCGATGAATACCTTGGGTAGGTTCTTGCTCAGACTGTCCAGTACGGAAATGGTATAGGTGTTTTTCAGATTGGACAAGGCATCGGTGACGGTTAGTTTAGCATGTTTGTCGTCGTTGTACATGAACATGGCTAGCGGGGGTTGGTTTGGCTTCGGTTTGCTTGGTAGCGCAGCCGTCGGTGCGGCTTTGGTGGTGAACGGGGTATTGGTAGTTCGTGGCTTTGGCGTAGTCGTTGCTGCCGTGTAGAAGTCATTGATGAGCGAAGCACTGACGGGTTGAGGCAGCGAGCTGAAGCGATTGCTCTCCGCAGCCTGTTTCTGATTGTAGAGAGTTTCCACGGGGACGTAGAGCAGCTGAACTTCCTCCTGGGAGACTCCACCGGTAGGTTGACCCTGAAGAGTAGTCGTCGGGTGACGAAGGTGCGTAGTCTGCGGTTGCGTCTGAGTATGGTGTGGGAACTGGAATTGATGCTCTACATGCGATGGCTTGTCTTGGACTAGATTCTCCTTCGGTATCTGGGGACTATACGGTGGCAGTGGATGTCTCTGGACGGTTTGTACTCCACCGAAAGGCGAATGATGTATAAACGATTGATGACTTCCAAAGGCTTGGTTGTAGGCAGGTTCTAGTTCCTGCTGAAGAGGTTGCGCAGCAGGTGGTGGAGGGAACACCACTCGGCTAGAATGAGCCCCGAACGGTTGGTTAACGAATGAGAACTGATGATGCTGCGGTTGGGCACTGTTGTCGTTGCCGAGGAAGCCGGTGTTGTCGAAGTAGTTCAGTACCTTGGCTCCGGCTTGTCGATCTCCCGGTCGCGACAGTGGAATCCAGTCATTGCCTTGGACGTTGCCATACTCTGTCAGCTGACGGGACCAGCGATCGCCTGCTTGTAGGCACGACAGGTTTAGCACCAAGGCCAATACTGGAACCCAACACCTTTTGGCGACATCTATCGCCATTCTCACGAAACGCACGTCCTGTGTCGTCTACATGGAAAAACAAAATCGAGAAAGAAAAACAAAAGTATTAATCATTTACGCTCAATGGTATGCGCTAATCAAATTCGCTTTTCTCTTTCAGGTACGCAGTTGCTGCTTTCCGTTCAGCTTTTACATGTTTCATGTTCGATGGAGCGTGTCATTTAGTCTTTCTTTATTTTCTATCTATGCCTGCCGAAGAGACTAATTTGTGCACAAGGTAGAGCAGCCTTTTTACTTTCGAAGCATGTGCAAAATGCTTTTCGCCCTGGCGATAAACATTGATTTTCTCCGGCGCACGCTAATACCGATCGCTCGCCCTCCCACTTGGACACAACTAGATCATGGAAAATGAAAATGCAACACCCAATGGGCGCGGGCATGCGAGTGTTTATGATTAAAAGGCGTTTTGTACCGTGAGTAAGTAACCATTGTGCAAATCATAGCAGCCGGCGATTTCTCCCTGATTCGGAAAAATGCACAGCAAGCTGGGAAATATTTGACCGATGGTGCTGTTATGGGATGCTGCTCGAGATGCTAAAGACTCCTGCGATCCCACACGAAAGCTGCCGAACGAGATCCGGTTTTGATTATTGGTCACGCCGTTGTCAAGCCCCCTTTCGCCCCCCGATCCCACCCTGGCCAGGTGTCGTGGAGCCGGCTTGTAAGCGTGTCTCATGGCCAACTTTGCCGTAACAACGACGGCGGCGGCGAAGAAGAAGAATGCAGGAGTGAAAGTGTTTTTATAACACAAATCATAATATAATGTAATAGGGTGGTACTAAAGCATGTTGGGGCAGGTTTGGAGTGCGCCCGTGCCTTTCGACGATGAATGGTATTTTTCTTAGCAGTTAGGGATCCGAAGTGTGACGTCACCCCATGTCGAATCGAGTGGGATAAAGATCTATTTAGAGCAAGCAGGTTGGTGCACAGAGCTTCTGGGGTGATTAACGGTTCGTGAATGTAATAGGTATAAAACTATAAACGAGCCGGTCGCCAAGCCAACCGGTCCCGGGGCAGTTTTGGAGCCCTTCTCTCTGGGGCTCGCTGATGATTAGGGAAGTGATTGTGTAGCGGAAATGCAGTAATGACGACAGCTGCTGCAGCAGCAGCAGCAGGTTGAGGTTAATTTGATCGTTATTATTGTTTAATAGATTTCTAGCTTTGACGGTCAAAATTTCTTACTGGTTGGTGTGTAGGTAGATAAATTTGAGATCGTGACTTCTGTGTTCAGTTTTTATTGAAAGCATGTTGTATTGCAAGCGTGCAAGTTAGGGTGGTTCAATATATCGATTTTGCTCCACCAAGCTAAATCGATTTCAAATCAGGTCCTGATCCAAACATTTGGCGCGAAGAATAGGGCAACATAACCAAGCTACTATATCATGAGTGATGCAGTGTTGGATCAAAGCAGTCATATCAGAAAGTTATCGGCTTCGAAATCAATTAATAAGTAATTACTTGGAAGTCTAATCGAAAAGGGATCTTCGATGAAGTTGTAGCTGATAAATTTTCGCATAGGAGTAGAAAGAGAACTTTTCAGTAGATATTACTACAGCTAACAAAAAGTTCACTTCTCCGATAGTGATTCTCACATAAGCTTCAAAGGGCCAATGCAATATGAGTTCGCATCCAAATGAACTAAAGTTTTGAGAGAATTATCAGCACCAGATTTTGAATCGATTGAGCATGGTGGTGCAAAATCGATATTTTGAACTACCCGCCAGTGAGTTTTTGATTGCCGGGTTCAAAAACCCCACGTTCAGTAAATTTATCACTTAGATGAAAATGAAGTATAATAAGGAGCAGATTTTGTAGAGGGAGCCTATCAGTTTAATCCTTCTTGGTCGAAGCTCTAGAAACTAACATTTTAAAATAGTGCTAAAGAGAAAACAATTTGAGCCTGGTGAAAACCGGGTTTCATTAGGCTCTCGCCAACAAAAACTGCAACTTGTTACGTCATTTCTTTCAAATCTCTGGTTGTATGTCGTCCCAAAACTGCTCGACTATGTGTATAATTCGATACATCGCGTGACATTTGAAATTGTCTCAAACGATTTGCTTGCTTTGCTGCACCTATGTACATATTTTTACAATATTTTTTTTTTCTTGGCTTTGACGCTCTTAGATGATCTTTCGCCTGCTATCAACTTAGTCTTCCTTGAAGCAGTTCCATATTTACTAATTTACAGCTTTCTATGCCAACCAGTGCATGCATGTGTAGAGTTTTTTACCCGACCGGGCATTGAACCCGCTGCCTCCTTCTTGTGGTAATACCGTCCCTTAGCTAGGGTTACCATATCAAAAACTTGAAAAGGAGGACATTTCATTTGAGGTTTGGAGATAAAGGAGGACAAAGTTTCCTTTTCACTAACATTAAAGGAGGACAATGAGTTTTTATCAAACGTTTTAATAATATGTGCGCTATCACTAAATTAATGAGTTTCAAAAGTTCAATTTAGATAGTTCATAACTTGTAGTCGTTATCAATTCAATTCATCTTCTCGTTATAGTTATGAAAAATGCATCTAACTAGCCTTCATAATTTATTTTTAATGCTAGAAAATGATGTAGTCTAGCTGATTTGCATGAAAACTACAGCTTTACATCCCAACTTTTATCATGTACTAAAATAAGGATACATGTCATCGCTGATTGAAAGCAACATAAAAAAGGAACATCTAAGCAACCTGTTAATTTTACCATTGATTCAGCATAGGACTCTAAACCTATACCTAAAATCCCATAGAACCAGAACGTCAAAATCGAACACATGTTGGATTCAATCTAAGGCTGTGTTCCATTTGGTGAATTTTCACTTACATTTTAAAGATGGGAAATTTTCAAATAGCCCTGATATTGCATCAGACTTCTTGCTCACAGACAAGCAATCCATTTTGACAAACTCATTCTCGACATGAGAAGGATTTTCAAACATTTTAATATATCTTAGAGATTTCAACATTAGATGAAAATTCCCCAATTGGAACACAGTCTAATGCTCTAACACCCTTATAGAGGACATTTTCCCATATTTGATGGCAGTGTTAGCATGCGTGGGCGAGCTACCAGTTACGCCAAATTGACAATCAAATGCATTGTTTACAAAAACTGATACGTCCCTTCGAAAATGTAATCGAGATTTATTGGATTTTCACTTAAATTTGGCACATCGAAAATAAATTATAATGTTAGAAATTCTCTTTGTTGTTGATCATCAGAATTTCGAGGAGTTGTTTGTCAAAATTGATCCCTGGTCTGTCAGAAACAAGTCTGGTAGAATAGCAGGTTTATTTTAAAATTTTCCATCTGAGCAATTCTCTACAGATTGACGAATTTTTAATTTTTTTTTTTATTTGTCGGCTCCAATTTTGATGAAAATTTGTACAGTTGTTCTTTTTTTTTAGTAAAGATGCCAATTTGTGCTATCAGTTTTTCAAATTGAATCACGACTACTTTTCTAACAGGGCCTGTGTAAAAATAGTACTAATGAGTTAAAAAAATATATATATTCGGGAAACGGTTTGTTGAATTGATTTGGTGTCTTCAGCAAAGTTGTAGATATTATTTTGGCAATAGTGTTAAAAATATACGCTGTAAAAAAATTCGTTTGTATCAATGAAAAAAATTATATTTGTTATTAAAAAAGTTAATTTCTCAAAAAGTGCATCACCAAACTTTGCCAGTTAGTAGCAAACATTATGAGCTTCAATGAGGCTTAAAACAAAAAATTTCAAAAATGCACTTTTTGAGAAATTAACTTTTTTAATAATATATATAATTTTTTCATTGATACAAACGAAATTTTTTACAGTGTATATTTTTTACACAATTGCCAAAATAATATCTACAACTTTGCTGAAGTCACCAAATAAATCGAACAAAGCGTTTCGGCAATACATATTTTTAAACTCATTAGTACTATTTTTACACAGGCCCTTTTCAAAAGTAGTCGTGATTCAATATAAAAAACTGAGAGCAGAAAATGGCGCCTTTACTAAAAAGGAACAACTGTGTAAAGTTTCAGTGTAATTGGAAATGATCGGTCAGGATCGATTTGCGAACCTTCGTGGAATGTCTCATCTGTCAAATTTAAACGCTGTCCAGACTGGAGAGTTATAACAACAATCAATACGGAACTAAAGATTTTAAATTGGCTCACTACTTGACTAGCCTATTGGTCCCAAGCAAACGATTAACGTACCCCATTCTAGTCGAAATTCTAGTACTACACAATGTTTGTTTTGATTCGCTATGAAAGTTTGACAGATAAAATGAGGGGTTATTGGTTTTTCCTATGTTTCGAGGGGTGAATCGATTAGCTTGGGACCGAAGAGAGTACCAGAGCTGAGCCAAAAAGTTGAGCACGTTATTTCAGGACCTTCTAGTCTTAGAGTTACCTCTATGGTTATAACATGGTATAACGGTTGTCAAATAATTGCAACACAGAAACCACCATCAAGATAGCGCTATAACATATTATAACTCTGTAGTCTGAACGTACTATTAAATGAAAATTCAGCAAATGAACCACAGTCGAAATGTAGGGGTAGTATATTCCTGATACAAGGGGTTGGTCATTCCGTACAGTGTGCTAAAAATACAGACCGACACACCTGGGCACTTTCATTGGCACCCATGGTTAGACATTTTCATGATATTTAAAGTTACTGGCAACACTGTACTATATCTGCGCCTGCTCTGTGCATGTGTGAAAATGATAATCATTGTTGTTGACACAATCCACAATTTCCTCACAGCGGACATATTGTCAAAACATTAGGATGAGCGAGGTCATCAAGGTGATGACCTTTGCCAAGTACAACAGTAATCTGGGAGCCTTACTGGAATTCTTCCGGATGGTGCTGGGGTCGCTACCGGAAGGCTTCGAGATCGGAGAACCTCCACTCAAGACGATCGAACTGTTCAAGGATCTGGTGCGGAAGGCTTTGGTGTTTCAGAACAGTTTGATCGAAGTTGGGAAGGGGGTGCCATCGTTCC